TTGATCTCATGTCTAAGTGGGAGGGGGAAAAATGTGATGAGAGACAGAAAAAAAAAAGATAGAAAAACCAAAACAAAAGTGTATAACCAGTCTCCTTAGTGGGTAAGGGGTATTTAGTAGCAAACTGGGAGCCAGGAGGACCTGGATTCTCCTGGCTTTATCTCTGCCACTAACCAGCTTTGAAAAGTCATTTAACCTCTTTAGACTTCAGTTTCCCATTTATAAAATAAAGGCATTCTACAGTAAATTATCTATAAGACCTCTTTCATTTCTAACTTTTTTTTTTTAATGTTTATTTATTTTTGAGAGAGAGACAGAGGGTGAACCAGAGAAGGGCAGAGAAAGAGGGAGACAGAATCTGAAGCAGGCTCCAGGCTCTGAGCTGTTAGCACAGAGCCCGACAGGGGGTCAAATTCATGAACCGTGAGATCACAACCTGAATCGAAGTCAAATGTTTAACAGACTGAGCCACCCAGGTGCCCCTCATCTTTAATGTTTGTAAAAAATATGTATTTGGGGCACCTCGCTGGCTCAATCGATAGAACATGAGACTTGTATTCTTGGAGTTGTCGAGTTCAAGCCCCACGTTGGGCATGGAGTCTACTTAAAAAATTTTTGTTTATTTTTTTAATTTGGAGTACAGTTGACACACAATGTTACATTAGCTTCAGATGTGTCATTCATCTCCAAAATTTAACATAATATTAGGACAGTATTCAAAGTTTCATGATACTAATAGGATTTTATCATATCCCAGGTTAGTAACAGAACAATATATATAAAATGAAGGTGATGAGTAAGTAGGTGGTTGATTTTTAATTAAGTCAAACAGATATTTATTACGTGCTTGTTCTATTCCAGGCCTAGAACTCCCAAGACAAAGAGGACATGGCCCATACTCTTGAGGAGCTGACAGTCTAGGGGAAAGACCTATAAGACCCTGTATTCACAGATAATCTCTTATCTAAGTATTATCTGGGTCTGACCAAAGATCAAACAAAATCCAGCCTATTCAGGAGGGTTTTGACAGTAACACGTTGGTAGGCAACTTCCTGGTTTCTTTCCCTTCTTACATGTTCAACTCCCAGGCATTACAAGGTAGTAAGGGCTAACGGGTCCTTGCAAGAACCCACCTGAAGAGTATTCCTAATTCATACTTACTGGCTAGAAGCATGGAGGTCAGACACTGTAATCCAAGCTACTCACTGACAGTGGTGTAAATAATAGATGTAAACAGTCATTTAATCAAATTTTATTCTGGATCAAAGCAAAATGCTAGGAATCTGAAGTGCATGCTCATTACTCTGCTCTAAAAATGGACAAATCAAAAAAAGCATTTCTGTTTGTATGATAAGGTGAGGGCAAGAAGTGATCTATAAAATATGTGCCTCGGGAGAGGATTCTTAATTCTAGAGGTATTGTTAAGACTTGTCAGAGGTATTGGGGCGCCTGGGTGGCTCAGTGGGTTGGGTGTCCGACTTCGGCTCAGGTCATGATCTCGCAGTTTGTGGATTCAAGCCCTGCGCCGGGCTCTGTGCTGGCAGCTCGGAGCCTGGAGCCTGCTTCAGATTCTGTGTCTCCCTCTCTCTCTGCCCCTCCCCCACTCACACTCTGTCTCTCTCTCCTTCAAAAATAAACATAAAAAAAATTTTTTTTAAATACTTGTCAGAGGTATAAACAAGGTGCTCAATATAAGATACCTTCTTTATTATAAGACTTAATTTTTGAGTTCTGCTCTTATTGTATACCACATGCTTGTACAAGTTTCGTGATGCTAAATCCATCACTACTCCATGTAATAACCAGGGGAGTAGCTACATTTCAGTTCACCAAAAATTTTCATGGCCATATAGGTATATTATGCAGAGTGAAAGCTTAACATGTGGAATCAGGTATACAGGTAGTCTCAAATTACTTGATGTCTTAACTTAGGTGTTGTCTTTTTATTAAAACATTACCTATTTTGTGCGTAAATTACCCAAGCTACAGAAGTGGGATGGGCAGGGGGGTGGGGATGAGGAGCAGGCCTAGAAAAAAATAATTGGAGTAGTACGCTCAGTCTCTGAAAAAAATAACAGATTTTAGAAGAAAATGACTATAGTTTATTCTCCCATGAATGAGGTGAATCGGTATCTTCTGCCTCCTAAGCTAAAAATCACAGAGCTCAGGACTCTGAACATATTCACCCTCCTCTCTTTTTGGGAACCCACTTCATTTTTTAAAATCTTCTCTATAAATTTGAAAATAGAGTCCAGAGCCATCTGATCATAAGCCCTAAACCAAGATGAATCATCTACTCATAATATCACTGGCTTCAGTGGTGCCTTATGATTAGGCAAAAACCTTTCCAAATAACCTCCAAAAAAGAATAAAGTACACTGAGCACTTCACTGCACATTAAATGAGCAAACCATTACTATATAGGGGCAAATAGAAACAGCAAGCTTTCATATCCCACTAAAGCTCAGCTTAGGAACAGGAAAACAGAAATGGCTACAGAACAACTCCATGGCAGTGAATTATTATCTAAAAAAATGCTTAGGCATAGGGTATGTTTTCCCCTTCTATTTTTTGGTGGGGCCCGGTAGGTGTTTGTGTCATGGGGGGGAGGGGTTCTTTTAAAATACTGCACAAACTTATTGTGGAAAAAAACCTTAATGCACAGTTAAGTGGGGCCCCTGGGTGGCTTAGTTGACTGAGTATCTGAGTCTTTATGTAAGCTCAGATCATGATCTCATAGTTTGTGAGATCAATCCCCATGTTGGGCTTGCACTGACAGCACAGAGCCTACTTGGGATTCTCTCTCCCTTTCTCTCTGCCCTTCCCCGTGCTCACACACTCTCTCTCTCTGTAAAACAAAAAAACAAAAATAAAAACAAACTTTAAAAAATATAATAAAAAATAAAATAAAATAAATGCACAGTTAAGCAACAAATAAGTAAACAAATAAAACAAAGAAAACCATCCATATTATCCCCCAAATGTAATTAATATTAAACTTTTTCAGCTATTTTTCTGTGCATTTGTATGTTTATTTCACATAGAAAGAATATGGATCATATTACCTATATTATTTTGTAGCCAGTTATCTTCACTGACCAACATATATCATGAAATTCTTTCTATGCCATATAAATTTCTAGGGCTATTTTTAATGGCAGTTAAAAATTCATACATGAACTAAAATGTATGGATATACCATTGAGTGAATGCATCATGCTTTATTTAACTAATTCCAAATTCTTGGATTAGGTTGTGTGATGGACTGAATCACATCCCCCTAAACTTTATATGTTGAAGTCCTAACACCCACTTTCTCAGAATGTGATTTTATTTAGAATTTAGCTTTTAAAGGGGTAATTAAGTTAAAATGAGGTATTAGGTTGGGCCCTAATCCAGTAGGACTCATCCCCTTATAAGAAGAGGACATTTGGACACAGATATATGTAAAATGAAGACCATATGAAGACACAGGGAGAAAATGGCCATCTAGAAGCCAAACAGAGAAGACTCACTTGCTGTTACGTTGATCTTGGAATCTAATCTCCAGAATTGTGAGAAATAAATTTATGTTGTTTAAGCCACTCAGTCTGTGGTGCTTTGTTATGGCAACCCTAGCAAACTGATATAGGTTGTTTCTAATTTTTTCCAATTAAGAACATCCTTGTATTTAACTCTCTGGGCACATGTCCAATTATTTTCTTGGAATACAAGTCTAAGCAAGGACTGTTGGGTCAAAGGGTGGGTATCTTTTTTAGGCTTCTGACATGTATTGTCAAATTGCCCAGGACAAGGGTGTGGTTTCCAGATACTCCCAAGGCCACTAGTCTTCCAGGTGCCAGAGTTTTTCACAGGTTTTTCCTCTATTTCCTAATTATGTGTTTTTCAAATTTTCCATTAGGAATACATACTGCTTTTATAATAATAAAATATATTCATTAAAAATTTTTTTTGTTTATTTTTGAGAGAGAGAGAGACAGAGACAGAGACAGAACATGAGTGGGGGAGAGGCAGATAGAGAGACACAGAATCTGAAGCAGGCTCCAGGCTCTGAGCTGTCAGCACAGAGCTCAATGAAGGGCTCGAACTCCCAACCTATAAGATCATGGCCTGAGCCATGTCAGTTAATCAAGTCGGTTAATCACGCTTAACCGACTGAGCCACTTAGGCACTCCAAAATACACTAATTTTTTAAAAGGAAAAGAAAGCCTATTACAATACAAAAGATTTCCATATTTGACTGAATTAAAATGAAACATGAAACAGTGGTTTGAAGAGATAAAACTGAAAGCTAATCAAGAACATGAGAAGACAAGCCACAGACTGGGAAGAAATATTTGCAAAGACATATCTGATAAAGAACTGTTACCTAAGGGACTTCCAGGGAAGATAGTTAAGTAGGAAGACACTAAGCTCATCTCATTTCATAGATACAACTAGAGAACAACACATAAGTATAAATAATCCAGAAAATGACCTGATGACTGACAGAACAGATTCTCTCCACAGCTAAATGTAGAAAAGAGGCCACATCATAAGGGTAGAGGCCCAGTCAGTAATAAAAATGACCCACAGGACTGTCCACAGGAGGGAGGGACATGGTCGGTGTGGAGAGAGGAGAGGAGCAAAACCCCACAACAGGTACCCCAGGCATGGGGGACCTGCACTGGGAAGGTGAATCTCCATAACATTTGGCTTTGAAAATGAGAGGGGCCTAACCTTGTGAGTTCTTACAATCAGTGGGGCTTAACACCTGAGAGAGCCAAAGGGCAGTAAGAAACTGAGTCTCTGCCCTTAAAGAAACTGCACAACAAACAGCCCCACTGAGATACAGCATAGATGCAGCAGTTTGAAAATGTCTTGGGTATATGAGAAGAAGATTTATTTACTAATCTTCAAGCATGAGGGACAGGGATAATTGGGAGGCTTCTCTAAGAATAAAAGAGCTGGCAAGTGCCATTTCCCTGCCCTGCCCCCACCCAGCCTAGATACACAGATACCTGCTGGAACCAGTACAGCAGCACATTCTCCACATAGCTTGCTAGCAGCACTCACCTGCCTGCCCTTTAATGGATCTTTCCCCTCCAACCTGGCTGGCCTTGGCAGGAATTTTCCCAAGTGGCTGTAGGTCCCCTCCTGCAGCGGATCAGCATGGATGGGCACCCCACTCCCCATCCCCACATTCTTTTGTAGACCTCCCCTCCAATAATCCCTTGGCCAGAGCTGATCCAGGGCAGTGCCACAAGCCTGGCAGTATGCAAACAGCTCCAACAGAGGGTAGAACTACTCCAAAGTGACTCCTGTCCTGGGGAGAGGGGAAGATAGTCACATATACCAGTCCAGCTCTGGCCCCAGCAGTGGACTGGGAGCAGACATTGGGTCTGACTGCAGGCACCACCCACCAATGAAAACACAGGGGAAGACACAAGGAAATCACCATGTAGTTCAGTGCTATTCATCTTTGGAAAATACCTGGTCTAACTCAACTCAAGCCAAAGGTGGCCCCAAACTAGCTCACTAACAACACAGGGACTAAGCCCTACCCACAACAGGCAAAGAGAGCCATTGGAGATGACAGGACTGAAAGCAAACGCAGCTCAGCCATAACAGTACAGCATATGCAACACACATAGCAGATACCCCTAAAGCCCAGCGTTCTGGTGAACATGATACATTGTACTGCAGTGCACTATAGAACCTCTTATTCAGAAGGCCACTACTTTTAAGAGCAGGAGACACAGCTGACTTTCCTAACACAAAGAAACAGACACAGAGAGTTAGGCAAAATGAGAAGACAGAGGAATATGTTCCAAATGAAACAACAGGGCAAAATCACAGCAAGAGAGCTAAACAAAACAGAGATAAGCAATATGTCTGATAGAGAATTGAAAGTAATGGTCATAAAGATACTCACTGGACTTGGGGACAGAGTGGAAGATCTCAGTGAGATCTTCAACAAAGAGATAGATGACATAAAAAAGGACCAATCGGAGATGAAGAACTCAATAACTGAAATTAAATACACACTACATGGAATAAATAGTGGACTAGAGGAAGCAGAAGAAGGGATCAGTGATCTGGAAGACAAAGTAATAGAAAGCAATAGAGCTGAACAGGAGGGAGAAAAAAATAATAAATAATGAAAATAGACTAAGGGAACTCAGCAACACCATGAAGTGTAATAACATTCACACTACAGGGATCCCAGAAGGAGAAGAAAGAGAACAGGGGGCAGAAAATTTATTTAAAGAAATAATAGCTGAAAACTTCCTGAATCTGTGGAAGGAAACAGAAATCTAGATCTAGGAGTCACAGAGAGCCCCCAATAAAATCAACCCAAGGAGGTCTGCACCAAGACACATAGTATTTAAAATGCAAATAGTAGCAATAAAGAGAGAATTTCAAAACCAACAAGAGAAAAGTTACATGCAAGGGAAACCCCAAAAGGCTATCAGCTGATTTTTCAGCAGAAACTTCACAGGCTATGAGTGGCATGATATATTCAAAGTGCTGAAAGAAAAAAAAACCCTGAAACAAAGAATACTCTATCCAGCAAGGCTATCATTCAGAATAGAAGGATAGATAAAAGTTTCCCAGGCAAAAAAAGTTAAGGGAATTCATCACCACTAAGCCAGATCACCAGAAATATTTACAAGGACACTTTGAGTAGAAAGGAAAGACCATAAGTAGGGGCAAGAAAAGTAGGAAGACAAAAGCAGTAAAATTAAGAATATCTATAAAAATCAGTTAAAGGATTCACAAAATAAAAGGATATAGAGTATGATACCATATACCTAAATCATGGGAAAGAGGGGATCAAACAAAGAATGGGTTCAAACTAAAATGACCATTAGCTTAATATAGACTACAAATGCATAAGATGTTATATATAAACCTAATGGTAACCAGAAATCAAAAACCAGTAATAAATATGCAAAAAATAAAAAGAAAGAAATCCAAGTATATCAGTAAAGAGAGTTAGCAAACCGTGACGGAGCCAGTGAAGAAAAAAACAGAAAAACTACAAAACTATGACAACAAGTAATGAAATAGCAATAAGTACGTATTTATCAATAATTACTTTGAAAGTAGATGGACTTAAACCCTCCAGTCAAAAGACATATGGTAACTGAATGAATAAAAAAGCAAGACCCATCTATATGCTGCCTATGAGAGACTCATTTCAGACCTAAAGACACATACAGATTGAAAGTGAGGGAATCAAGGAATATTTATCATACTAATGGATGTCAAAAGAAAGTTGGGATAGCAATACTTATATGGACTAAGATAGACTTAAAAAAAACTGTAACATGAGGCAAAGAAGGACACTATATAATCATAAAGGGAAAAATCTAACAAGAAGAGGGCGCCTGGGTGGCTCAGTCGGTTAAGCGGCCGACTTCAGCTCAGGTCACGATCTCGCGGTCCATGAATTCGAGCCCCACGTCAGGCTCTGTGCTGACAGCTCAGAGCCTGGAGCCTGTTTCAGATTCTGTGTCTCCCTCTCTCTGACCCTCCCCCGTTCATGCTCTCTCTCTGTCTCAAAAATAAATAAACGTTAAAAAAAAAAAAATCTAACAAGAAGATATGAACATTGTAAATATCCATGCACCCAACATGAAAGCACCCAAATAAAGCAGCTAACAACAAACATAAAAGGAAGTAATCAATACTAATACAATAATAGTAGAGGATGTTAACACTCCACTTACATCAATGGATTGATCATCCAAACAGAAAATCAACAAGGAAATAGTGGCTTTGAATAATACACTGGACCAGATGGATCTAACAGATTCCCTATTCAGAACATTCCATCCTAAAATAGCAGAATACACATCCTTTTCAAGTGTATATGAAACATTCTCCATAATAGATCACATGTTAGGACACAAAACAAGCCTCAACAAATTCAAAAAGATTGAGGTCATACCACGCATCTTTCCTGATCACAGCACTATGAAATGAAAAAACAACCACAAGAAAAGATCTGGAAAGAACACAAGTAACATGGAGGTTAAATAACCTGCTACAAAACCATGAATGGCTCAACCAAGAAATCAAAGAGGAAAGCAAAAAATACATGGAGACAAATGAAAATGAAGACCAATTGTCCAAAATCTTTGGGATGCAGCAAAAGTTGTTCTAAGAGGGAAGTTTATAGCAATTTAGGCCTACCTCAAAAGCAAGAAAAAATCTCAAATAAATAATCTAACTTTACACCTAAAGGATCTGGAGAAAGAACACATAGAACCAAAACCAAGTAGAAGGCAGGAAATAATAAATATTAGAGCAAATATAAATGACATAGAAACTAAAACAAACAAACAAAAAACACAAAACTAATAGAACAGATCAGTCAACCCAGGAGCAGTTTCTTTGAAAAGATAAAAAAATCAAATTAATAGATCAAAACATAAAAGTAATAAATCTTTAGCCAGACTCAAGAGAGAGGAGAGAGAGAGTCAAATAACAAAATCAGAAATGAAAGAGGAAAAATAACAACTAATACCATAGAAATACAAAGGATTATAAGAGATAAGAGAATATTATAAAAAATTATATGCCAACAAATTGAACAACCTAGAAGAAATGGATAAATTCCTAGTAACATATAATCTCCCAAAACTGAATCAGGAGGAAATAGAAAATTTGAACAGACTAATTGCCAGCAACAAAATTGAATCAGTAGTTTAAAAACTCCCAACAAACAAAAGTCCAGGACCAGATGACTTCACAGGTGAATTCTACCAAACATTTAAAGAAGAGTTAATTCCTATTCTTCTCAAACTATTCCAAACAATAGAAGAGGAAAGAAATCTTCCAAATTAATTCTATGAGGCTAGCATTACCCTGATACCAAAACCAGATAAAGACACCACAAAAAAGAGAACTACAGGCCAATATCTATGATGAACATAGATGCAAAAATTCTCAACAAAATATTAGCAAACCAAATCCAACAATATATTTAAAAAATCATTAATCTCAATCAAGTGGGATTTATTTCTGGGATGCAAAGGTAGTTCAATATTTGCAAATCAATCAATGAAATACATCACATAAACAAGAGAAAAGATAACCATATGATCATTTCAATAGATGCAGAAAAAGCATTTGACAAAGTACAACATCCATTCATGATAAAAACCCTCAACAAAGTAGGTCTAGAGGGAACATATCTCAATATAATAAAGTCCACAAATGAAAATTTCACAGCTAACATCATACTCAATAGTGAAAAACTGACAGCTTTTTCTCTAAGGTCAGCAACAAGACAAGGATATCCACTCTCACCACTTTTATTCAACATAGTAGTGGAAGTTCTAGCCACAGCAATCAGACAAGAAAAAGAATTCAAAAGCATCGTAATTAGTAAGGAAGGTCAAACTTTCACTATTTGCAGAAGACATGATACTATATATAGAAAGCCTTAAAGACTCCACCAAAAAACTACTAGAACTGATCAATGAATTCAGTAAAGTTGCAGGATACAAAATCAATATACAGAAATCTGTTGCATATCTACACACTAATAATGAAGTAGCAGAAAGAGAAATTAAGAAAATAATCCCATTTACAATTGCATCAAAAACAATAAAGTACCCAGGAATAAATTTAACCAAAGAAGTTAAAGACCTGTACTTTGAAAACTATAAAACATTGATGAGAGAAATAAAAGATGACACAAACAAATGTGTCATCTTTAATTTTAAAAATTAATTAAATAAATCCATGTTCGTGGATTGGGAGATCAAATACTGTTAAATGTCCATACTACCCAAAGCAACTTTTACATTTAATGGAATCCCTATCAAAGTACCAACAGAATTTTTCACAGAAATAGAACGAATAATCCTAAAATTTATATGGAACCCCCAAAGACCTTGAAAAGCCAAATCAATCTTGGAAAAGAAAAACAGAACTGGAGGTATCAGAATTCCAGACTTAAAGTTGTATTACAAAGCTGTAGTAATCAAAGCAGTATAGTAGAGTCACAAAAATAGATGCATAGATCAATGCAACAGAATAAAACACTTGGAAATAAACCCACAATTATATGGTCTATTAATCTTTGTCAAAGGAGGCAAGAATATCCAATGGGAAAAAGATAATCTCTTCAACAAATGGTGTTGGGAAAACTGGACAGCTACATACAAAAGAATGAAAGT